TTTTTTGTTTATTTTATTTATTTATTTATTTTTATTTTTTTTAAAAAAAAAAAAATTTGAAAAATTTAAAAAAAAAAGAAAAAAGAAAGATCGATCCCAAAATGGGTAGGAGATCGATCCCATTTTCTTGGCAGAGAGCAACAAAAAAATAGGCCAAGTGGATTGATCCCCCGTCCAAAGGGATCGATCCCATTTTACTTATGTTTCTCCCTTCTCATTAAACAGTGAAGGGGACATTTTTTGCCTAAAATTATCGATCCCCCATCAAAGCAGATCGATCGCCCCTTAGCTTTGTTGTGCCTTACCTTCAATCTCCAAAATACATTCCTCTCTGTTCTCCCAGTTTCGAGTCGCCACTCTAAATTTCCTCCTGGCGTTCACGGTGTACAGGAACCCACAATCTTCCGCTGATCTCTTCTCCTCTTCCACGGTGTCGCGACTGTTAAAAACGGCGCCATGGTTCTGAGTTCTTCTCCGCCGACGGTTTGAGTTCGCCGTTGGCTTCGCCTTTTATTTTCCGACACGGCTGTTCGTTACTTTCCGGCGAGCGTCTGGGTCGTCTTTCTGAAAAAAATAAAAAATAAAAAATAAAAAAAAAACAGCAGCGGCGTTGCATCTGCTTTCTTTCCGGCGTCGCATCTGTTCATCTTCCAGTGCCATTTCCTGGTTCTTGTTTAATTCGTCGGTGTCGCGGCTGTCCGTTTTCTTCCGGCCGTGCTTGAATCAGTCCGATTCCGGATTGGTCCTCTCCGGCGAGCTTGTGACTCGTCGTTTTCCCCAGCGATTCCGGCGGCTGGTTCATCAAATGGCGTCGCGGCTGGGCTCGTCGTCGATTACAGCTTCGCATCTATTCGCAGTTCTCCAGCGATCTCGGCGTTGCATCTGTTCACATCTGTCTCGTTCTCCGGCGATCAAGGCTGTTTCGGCCTTTATTTTTCCGGCGCCATGGGTCTGAGCTATTTTTTCGGAGTCGCAACTGGGTTCATTTTTCCGGCGTCGCGGGTTCGTTTCTCTCTGGCGATCTCGGCTTGGATTCGCCGGCGAACAAGGCTGGTTCTTCTCCGGCCACGATTTCCGGCGGTTGGTTCTTCCAACAGCGGTCGCGGCTGTTCATCTTCTCCGGCGAGCTTTTGGCTTCGCCGTTCCAATTGATACATAAATAAATAAATAAAAAAAGAAAAAGAAAAAGAAAAGAAAAAAATTAAAATAATAAAATAATAAAAAAAACAAAAAATAAAAAAATAAAAACATAACATAAAAATTTTAATAATTAAAAAGTATATATATATATATATATATATTTTTTTTTTTTGAATTGATTTATTAAAAAAAAAAAGAGTAGCATTGATGTTAAAAAAAAAAAAAAAAAAAAAAAAAAAGGCTAAGTAGAATTTGTAGTAGTGTTTTTAGTTATTTATTTCTTTATTTATTTTTGATAAAAATAAAAAAAATATTAAAATAAAATAAAATTTCAGTAACATTCCGTCTTGCTAGAGACGTTAAACTTAGCCCATTTTTCTTATTTTATTTTGTTGGTTGTATATACATGTTCTTTTCCTTTGTAAAAAAAAAAAAAAAAAAAAAAAAAAAAAAAAAAAAATTTGAATTGATTTATTTTAGTATATATTTATTTCTTTTTAGTTTAGTATATATTTTTTCTTTTTAGTTTAGAATATTTTTCTTTGTGTTAAAAAAAAAAAAAAAAAAAAATTGGGAGATCAATCCCATTCTTGAAATTAAAAAAAAAAAAAAAAAAACATATCACAAAAATTTCAAAAATATGTGTCCCCGTTATGCCCTTATGCTTAGTTATGCATGTTTTCATCTTTTACAAAAGGCTTGATATCATATCTCTTTACATCTTATTCTATATTGTTTTGGAATGTATGCTTTACTTATTCCATTTGATATTTGATGTGAGTTGCTAGTGTGATTTTTCTAGTAGGTTTTTGCATCCAAGTTTAGGGGAGACCTCTTTCGTCATGGATCATTGCCGGACGTCATTAACTTTTGCCATCACGGTGTACTCTTTCCATTTCTTTCATTGTTCTCATTGCACATTGAGGACAATGTGCAATTTAACTTTGGGGGTAAAGTAGCCTTGTTACATTCTATTTTAAGTTGAGTTTTAAATGCATGATTGAGATTTGAGATATATTTGGCAATGATTTTGAACTTTTGAAGCATAGTGCCTTTAAAAAACAAGTTGTTAGAGTCTAATACTTCTTGTATGCTCTAGGATGCCATTTAGGGGTAAATTTTAATTTTTGACATCATGTTTGCTTTTGTGGTACACATCATCTTGTTGGTTGAAAATGCTTTGAGAGTTGATTCTAGAATTCTACATTTGCACTTGCGCACACTAGAATTCAATTTGTGGGGTACATGCTTAGTTGATTATTGTTTTGGTTTGTTCTAATTGAGCTAGTATGCTTTGAAAGCTTTCATTCTTGATAAAATGACCTTGCAAAGGAAAGAAAAGAAATAAATTAAAAAAAAAAAAAAAAAACTGCATTCTTTCAACATGTCAACTGATTAAAAAGGAAGACAAGGGAAGAATGTAAGATGTATGATTAGTTTGAGTTCGTAGCCTAGCCATTCCGAGTCATTACGCCCTTAGGAGTGTCTTTACACTTAACGCCCTAAGACCATCTGGTTTGGGAGTCGTTGGCTCAACGCTTGTTACATGGGGTGATTAGAGAGCTTAAGGAACTTGGACATTGCATATGGTCATACATAAAAATAAAAAATGAAATCAATAAAAAAAAAAAAAAAAAAAAGAATGTTTGATTAAATAACAAGGTTCATTCAATGTCTTGATGTCTGGTACTATATCTGCATGCTAGTTTGAGGGTAAGGCTATGCCATTACTTTGATTTGCTAGGATAGCAACACATTTTGATACCGGTTCACTTAAAAGGATGATATAATTGATTCAATTTGCTTACATGATGTTGAAACGTTGATAATAGCTTAGAAATGGCAAAAATTTGCATACTTGAGGTAGTCTACTTTCAACACTTATTTAATATGTGTCGTTACTTCTCAAGTAAGAAAGAGCTGTTGATGTTTGTGGGTACCATTTCTGTAAACCCTCACGAGACTTCACTCATCCACTAGGGGTAACCTAGGGGTTTAAAAGGCTTGTTGCATATGCTAAATGCAATCGTGATCCCTACGAAAGTGGTGTTATCTTTATTTGCTTTATTAGTTCATAATTGTATATATGTTTGTTTCATTTCCATGCTGTAGTTTATTACTAGGGACTAACAATATCTAAGTTTGGGGGCGTGATAAATGCTTAAATGTTGCACATTTCAGCACCAAAGCTAAGGTATTTCAGTCTTCGCATATATCTTAATTTTATGTTTTAGTCCTAATTTATGTTTATGTGTATTTCAGGGCAATAAAGTTAAAATGAGCTAAGAACGGTCCAATTAAGCCTTTTTGGAGTTAAGCAAAGATTTTCAGACAATGGCACAAAGCGGTCAACTTCGGGCCTTTGATGATGTTCCCAAAGATGGAGAAGCAAACCAAACAGCCCGGGGCAAAAATGGAGCTGAATGAGGCTTAAAGGAATTTGTCAACTCTGGGGGGATCGATCCCTAGGGTGGGGGATCGATCCCCCAGGACTTAGCAACATTACAGTTTTTATTTAATTTTTGGGCTCATTTTGGGAACTGTTGGGCTTTAATGAGATTGTTACTTAAGGCTCAGTGAGCCATTAGATTATGGTTAGTTTTAGTTTTTATTTAGGTAAAGATTATTAGAGAAATTAATAAGTTTTAATTTATTTATTTTTCTGTATCGTAGTATCGTATTTTCTCTCTGGAAAAACACGCGAAGAAAGGGAAAAAGGAAGAACAGGCTAGGGTTTGGAAGAAAAGTTCAGAGAAGATGAAGCAGATGATGGGGATTGTCCTGTCTTCGACTCCATCAACCATGAGTGGCTGATTCTTCTACTTAGGGTTGGATAAACCCTAAGCATGTAACCTATTCTCTCTCTCTCTCTTTTCATACTTTTTGGGGATTAATTTATGTAATTAGTGTATAGTCTTGAATATTATGAATTAAATTCTTCCAATTGATTATCTGTATTAATCTCATATTGTCTTATGTGTGGTTGATTGATAAACAAATTTTACACATGAATTCTTTGTTAATTGATTCTTGTGATGGCTATGCATGGTATTGCTTAGTTGTAATTGTGTTTCAAATTGATGAAAAATGCTTCCATTTGATGGATGGTACTGCATGTTTAGGTTAATTTGTTGTCTAATTAGTTTTAAATTCATGTTTAATTAGTTTAATTTAAGTTTAATTAATTTAATTGCAATTCAATTATTAGGTAAGTAGACCATCCATACTTATGTTTGAATTCCATACTTTTTTGTCACAATTGCATTATCTTCTAAATTAATGTGTGTTAAATTTGTAACTTGGATTGATAAATCATGCTTTGAATGGGTGAATTGCACTACACTTAATTTAATTGTCATTAGGTAGTTGATTCATGCTTGAAATTGATGGTTTACATTTTTCATTGCACTCGTTAGCCACATATAGATTACATAGTATTATTTCCCCAATTAGTTGAAAGTGAGTGAGTTAGGGAATGTGCTTAGTGGTGAATCCTACACCCTAAGTCTCTTTCCAATCTCTTAAACTCTATTTCTTTATTGCAATCATTTAGTTTAAAATTAGTTTTAATCACAAACAAAACCCTTTTGGCAATCACATAAGCACTAAAGTAGAATTCAATTCTGGAAAACCTATAATTGTTTAGATCTCTTGGGACGATCCCTGCTCACTTCATACTCCATAGTATAAGTGTTTAGTGGTTTTATAAATTTTAAAATATGGTGCCCACTTGACATTATTTCTAAACCTAAAGTGTTGTGCATTATTTGGTGCACACGCTCGGTCGCACCAGACTTCTTAAGGCAGGATTTATTCGAACAGTTAGGTATGTTGAATGGTTGTCTAATGTTGTTCCTGTAATGAAGAAGAATGACAAACTTAGAGTTTGTGTGGATTTTCGCAATTTAAATAATGCCACTACAAAAGATGAATATCCAATGCCTGTGGCCGATCAACTTATTGATTCGGCCGCTAAGCATGAAATATTGTCTTTTATGGACGGCCATTCAGGTTATAATCAAATCTATTTAGCCGAGGAAGATATTCATAAAACGGCTTTTAGATGTTCTCGGTCAATTGGTACTTTTGAGTGGATTGTGATGCCATTTGGCCTAAAAAATGCTGGGGCTACTTATCAAAGGGCAATGAACTCTATCTTTCATGATATGATTGGCCGATTCATGGAAATTTATATAGATGATGTAGTTGTGAAATCATCGGCCAAGAGACAGCATTTGGAACACTTGAAAAGGGCCTTTGAAAGGATGAGGATTCACAAATTGAAAATGAACCCATTGAAGTGTGCATTTGGAGTTTCAGCCGGGAATTTCTTGGGGTTCTTAGTACACAAACGAGGTATTGAAGTTGATCAGAACAAGGTTAAAGCTATTATAAATGCTAGGGCCCCAGCCAACAAAAAACAAGTGCAAAGGTTCCTCGGCCAGGTAAGTTTTCTTAGAAGATTTATTTCTAACCATGCTGGCCGAGTGCATGTCTTTTCGACTTTAGTGAAATTAAAGTCACATGACAAAATTTCATTGGGACGAATCCCATCAGAAGGCCTTTGACAAAATAAAAGAGTATTTGGCAAACCCCCCGGTTGTAATGCCTCCAAGAAAGAAGTGGCCGTTAAAGCTTTATTTATCGGCCGCAGAAGAATCAATTGGTAGTATGCTCGCACAAGACAATGAACATGGAAAGGAACAGGCTGTCTACTACCTGAGTAGAGTACTAATTGATGTAGAATGTAGATATTCCTCAATTGAGAAGCTTTGTTTATCTTTGTACTATTCGGCCATGAAGTTGAGAGTATACATGCGGCCTGTTGATGTTTACATTCTTTGTCAGACTAACGTGATCAAGTATATGCTATCAAGGCCATTGATCACTGGCGGAATAGGTAAGTGAGCTTTGGCTTTGATGGAATTCAATTTTATCTACGTCCCACAAAAATCAGTAAAATGAAGGGTTCTGGCTGATTTTTTGGCCGATCATCCTTCAACTGATATTGATCCATGGGTTTATGATGAATTGGAGTCATCAGCTATATTCTTAACTCCTTGGATCTTGATATTTGATGGATCAAGCACGGCTGATGGAGCAGGAGCAGGTATTGTTATTATTTCGCCAGCTGGCAGAAAGGCTTCATTCTCTTTCTTTTTAGATTTTAAATGTTCAAATAATCAGGCCGAATATGAAGCGCTTATAATCGGCCTGGAGATTTTAATTGAAATGGCTGTTAGAGATGTAAAGATTTTGAGAGATTCAAACTTAGTCCTTAGCCAAATTTCTGAAGATTTTAAGTGCCTAAGTTAGCAATTAAGGCCGTTTCATTCTCTGGCCACTTCATTAATCAATCAATTTGATAATGTTCAACTTAAGTTCTGGCCGAGAGGGCAGAATAAGGAGGCCAACAGCATGGCCCAAGCAGCCTCTGGAATAAGAGTACCAGCCGGAATAGAAGATCAGTTGATAAAGATAACACGAAGATCTTTGCCATTGGCCGAATTGAGAAATACTATGTTGTTTGATACTTGGACAATTGATGTAGAAGATTTGGCCGATGATGACTGGAGGATACCATTTATAATGTTTCTTCGAAATCCAAACATCAAGGCTGATAGAAGTATTAAAAGAAAAGCGATCAACTTTGTGCTTCTAGATGGGGATCTATACAAAAAAGGGTTAGAAGATGGGCTCCTACTACAATGCATAAACAAGGAGGAATCACTTCAGGTTATGGCCGAGGTACATGAGGGCAGCTGTGGGGCTCACCAAGCTGGGATTAAAATGAGATGGCTGATTCGTAGGTATGGATATTATTGGCCGAGGATGAGGAAAGATTACATAGATTACTCAAAAGGTTGTCAAGCTTGTCAAAGACACGGGCCGATTCAAAATGTACCAGCAAAAGAATTACAGCCAATAATCAAACTTTGGCCATTCAGAGGTTGGGGCCTTGACCTTATTGGTAAAATTAATCCACCATCAAGCGAAGGCCATCACTGGGTGATTGTTGCCACAGATTATTTTACTAAATGGGTTGAGGCCAAGGCTTGCAAAGCGGTTGATCAGCAAACAGTGAATAATTTCATGGAACAAAACATCATCCACAGATTTGGGATTCCAGAAACACTTGTTTCAGATAATGCAACAGTATTTAGGGCAACTGATGTATTACAATTCGGCCACAACATGAATATTCATATGTCAGCCTCTATGCCATACTATGCTCAAGTAAATGGCCGGGCCAAATCTTCAAACAAAATTTTAATAGAGATTATTGAAAAAATGATCAAAGATAAGCCAAGAAGGTGGCATGAGACTTTGTCTGAAGCTTTATGGGCCTATAGGAACTTAAAAAGAACAGGCACAGGAGTTACACCATACATGTTAACTTATGGTCATGATGCTGTTCTGCCTATGGAAATGAAGGTTAAATCAGCCAGAGTTGCTTTTCAAAATAATCTAACTCCAGCTGATTATACTCAAGTAATGTTGGTAGAATTGGAAGATTTGGATAAAGTTAGAAGGGATGCTTTGGATCATATCATAGCTCACAAGAAGAAGGTGATGAGGATCTACAACAAGAGGGTAAAACCTAAGTCTTTTGCTGAAGAAGATTTGGTTTGGAGAGTTGTTTTGCCAGTGGGTAAAGTCGATAAGAAATATGGGAAGTGGTCCCAAAAATGGGACGGGCCATACTTAGTCCATCAAGTCTTAAGTGGAGGAGCATATAGGCTGAAGTATTTCAGTGGCCGATTACATGACTACCCCATTAATGGCAAGTACCTCAAGAGGTACGTACCGGCAATCTTTGAAAGGGAAAATTAGTGTTAGCCAGTACTTATGGCTGACCATGTGTACCTTTATGTAATAAAAAATCGGCCATAAAAGAAATACTTTTCTTGGTATTTCCGACAGATATAGTTGAAGTCATTAAAGAAGATGACTATTCAAAAACTTGGGATGACGTACTTTCAGAAGCTCCATGGGAGTATAAAAATTCAGGAGGATCAGCCATCAGAAAAGCTCCATACTGGCAGAATTTTGTTTTTTCAATAGAGAAGCCAGTTAGATCGGCCCAAATGACATTACATAACAACCTAATCCTGATCGATCACGATCATGCCTTGCCAGTAGAGTTGGGAAACTTCAATGGTGAGGTCTATCATAGGTTTATAAATGGCCAATATTTTGAGGGGTATCAGCCATCTTTGTGGGAATAATAGAAGAACCAGGATCGGCCAGTCCTGGTTGACGCAAAATAAAGACCAACTTAGAGGTGGTTCGGAAGAAATAAAGTCTAGAAGCTCGTTAGCTGCAAGTTTCTTTCATGTTATAAAAATTCCAAAAATCTAATCGGCCTGAGTGGCCGATAAGACATTTGAAATTTGGGGGGCATTTATTGGCACCAAAACTTGGCAGCCATCTCAGCGATGATGTGGACCAATGAAAAGCTGATAAGTATTTTTAACATGGCGTCAAGGGAATCAGCCAGTTAAGAAATATCAGGAGCAAGTATTGGAGAAAGTTACTCAGCCACTTCATTAACAAGGCAGTTGCTAAAATATAGCAACAAACATTTGACTTTATTCAAGTTGGGTTATCAACAAGAAAGGAAAGACTAAAGTTTTAAGGAAATCAGACAACTGAATTCCTATTTTATAGGAATTCTAGTTGGATGGAACAAGGAAAAATACAAAAGGCAGCCGCGTCATGAATATAAAAGCGATAAATGGCTTTTGGGCAATTTAAGGGAAGAAACGGTGACCAAGTATAAGGAAAGAAGTTGCTAAAAATTAGCAACTTTCCAGCAACTTCTTTAGCAACTTTTCAGCAACAATTCGACAACTTGCATTTGACTAAATCAAGGAGAGTTTTCAACAAGGAGTTTCTATTGAAGTAAGACGAAGCAAGACAAGAAAGGAAGTGGAAGTACACTGGGTTTTGCCCTAGAAGAAAGAGAAAATCAAGGAATAAGAGATTTTCTAGCAAAAAATTAGGAAAATAAGTTGAAAAAAGAATTCTATAAATAGGAAAGTTGTAATCCTATTCTAGTCCGTCCAGCACCACCACAAAACATGCATTTCAACTAAAAATGTTTTCAATTGACTCTATGTCATTTTCCTATCAATTTCTTTATTTCAATTTAATGGCAATTGATTAGATCCTCGTCAACTATTTAGATTCAGCTATTTACTTTCTTTCAATTTCAATTATGCCAATTTTAATTACGTAATTTTAGTTAGGTTTTCAATTCAATGGCAATTGATTAAATTCTTGCCATTGAATCGTAGTGACAATTGATTAAATTCTTGTCATTACTTGGCTGATGGCAATTGATTAAATTCTTGCTATCACGTTTCAGTGGCGATCGATTAAATTCTTGCCATTGTGTTTGACTGATGGCGATTGATTAAGTTCTCGCCATCACGTTCGGCCGGCGATCGATTAAGTTCTTGCCGTCTGTCTTCACTCGGCCATTCCATCCATTCAAACATTCATCAGCCGTTGCATTTCTTTAGACACTCTAAAAAGTCCTTGCTACAAACAAGGCATAAAATAACCTTGCTGGGAGTTCTTACTAGTCTCTCTCCCACACAATCGCCTGAGAGTCAGCCATCGAAAAAAGGGATAGGCTGGTGTTCAATTGCATATTTTGGGTATTTTGTACAAATACTCTGACACGCCCGCGAAGAGTCCATCGACCGGCGTAGGGACCAAAAACCGCGCGAACACTTTTATACACTTTTCACTATTTATATCAGTTGCAATTAATTATAGTTAGTAAGATTTTTTATTCCTTTTATACACTTTTCACTATTTATATCAGTTACAATTAATTATAGTTATTAATATTATTTCCTTATCCTATACACTCCAAAGGACCCAACAGTAAAGTTTCTTACGTTTATTGTGGACACTCCAAAGGACAGAAGACTTTGGGCAAAATTAAATTATAGTTATTAATATAATTGAGTGTATATATTTTTTATTATTTTTATATATTTTCAACAATTTTAAATTAAAGTATTTGTTAAAGATTAAAATAAAGAGATAATAGAAATACTTTTTATAACTAAATACACACATACCAGAATTAATATTCCGAAAAAACGAAAAAAAGAAAAACATTTTTCGTCCCACTTTTTAAAAGCAAATCTTTTTCCTTCCCCAAAAATAAAAAAAGTCCCATCTTTCATTCTTTTGGGTAAGAGTTTTCAGTAAATACAAAAATCAATTATTTTTAATAGTTTCCAAATACAATTATTATTTTGTTGGCCACAAATTGCAATTCACTTTACTCCTTCTTCTTGAGGTTTTTTTCTTTTCTTTTTCTTCTTCTTCTTCTTTTTATTTTATTTTATTTTATATTTTAATAATCTCCTATATTGCATTTAAAATTCTTTTTATCTCTTTATTTACATTATCCATAGACCTGTAAGTTTTTTTTTTTTTTATTCTTTTATATACTTTTTCACTATTTATATAAATTGCAATTAATTATATTATTAATATTATTTCCTTATCCTATAAATTACAATTGCCTTTTTCTTTGTTGTATATTTATCCTTTAATCAGTTTTGTTATTTATACCAATTGTATTATTTTTCACCACACACAAAAGGTTGGAGTACATGTTGAATTTGTTAGTTATGTGTTGCTTTTATTTATTAGTTCATTTGTTAGTTAGATTTATTTAATATTACATACGTTGGAGGAAAGCATTAAATTTAATTAGTAAAGTATTGCATACATGTTTACAAAATATATTTATTTAAAATACTTTACTAATTAACTTTAGTTATATGTGAGTTGAGTTTTTCACATCTCTTATCAAATATGTTTATTTAGATTAAAGTTTTTTTATTTTAAAATATTTTTATTATTTTAAATTTAAAGATAACATTTAATGGAGAAATTGAAGGAAACACCAAATAAACTTCCTAATTTTAGTTTTATAAGCATTTTCTTATAAGGCAAGAATGGTTAGAAGTTAGATTAGTAAATGCGAATCCATCGAAGGCACTAAACCATTAAGCTATCGAGACATGTACAATTATTAAACTCTAACTCAACCTCATTAGAGTTTTTTCATCTCCCTCTATAAAAAGTGCTTTGAATTTATTATTGGTTAATGTATTATTCGTGTTTATTGACAGTGTTGCTCATTTGTTTCTTTGATGGTTACCAGACTATGCATAATTTTTTTCACTGAGAAATCATAATTTCTTGTTACCAACACTATAAATTAAATTGTGACTAAATTCATGAAGGAATAGTTGCTCAGGACGAAATGTAAAAAAGGTGACAAACCTTATGATAATTGAGGTTTGTATAATTTGTCCGAACATCTTGATAAGTTCCTTAGATGATAGTTAATTTTGCACCTTCGAAAATTTCTAAACGTAAAAAATGAGAACGCTAATTGATGCGCGTGTAATGAAATGAATTATTAATCTTGACATAAGAATAGCCAATAATTGACATAGTATACAATATTTAAATTATACAAATATATTTTAATTGTTTATTTTTGATCACATGATTTTCATTGTAATTGTATTGAGTTAAACATCATTATGAAATGAATATTTACAAATGATAAGCGAATTGATTCATTTGGTATATTCTTCTAATTTTTGTTTTAAATTTTTTTTTTTAAAATGACATATTGAATTTAATATAAAGTTTATTTTCCTAGTTTAAATAAACAAAGAACACACACCTTCCTACAAACTTATATATATATATATATATACACACACACACACATATATATGATGTTATTACGCATCACTTTATTGTAGACTAGAGGCAGTGCTCTCTTAATTACACAAAGAAAAAGGAAATACTTTATTCTTCTTCTTCTTTTTCTATTTTTAATTTAATTTAATTTAATTTTTTTTTTTTTTTTGTAAAGAATAGAATGAGAGAGAGAGGTGATATGATATTTTGTGCAACTAAAGAGATTGAAGAATTTTGTTGTATTTTTTACTCCTTCGTTTTTTTGACACATTTAACATTAATTACCGAAAAATAAAAGTACTCTCATGCTCTAATAAATAATCGGGTCAAAAATTTAAGTACGTCCTCTATGGAGTTATCTAATCTTCTTTTACCAAAAAAAAAAAAAAAAAAAAAAACTAGTTTTTCTAACTTACATACTATACAAGCCCTTGTATTTTACAATATTTTTAAAAAAATAAAAATTGAAGTTTGGTTAAAATTGGTGGAGAGGGTTTGGTTAAAATTGGTGGAGGGGTTCGGTTAAAATAAAACCTAACCAGTAACCCCGGTCTACGTTTCTCATTCTCTCTCTCTCGTCTTTTGTTCCATTTGGTGAGAGAAAGTGAGAATAGTTTAGAGAGAAAAAGTTATGTTCGACTGTGCAATTGCTTCTGTTGCTGTCCGTTGGTGTCATGGCGAGATGAACAAGTACGAGATCTTTCAAACGAGGTATATTCTCTCTCTAATCACCCTCTCTCTCTCTCTCTGACTTTAAGTTTTGTGATCTGCGCCATTAACAATTGTTTGAATGTATGAAAACCAGAGCTTCTCTGTAGTAGTAGCAGTCTCTCCCTAAATTATCGGTTTTTGAGCTCATTTGGGCGTATTTATTCGTCAAAATGCTTGGTCGAATTTTTGTGTTCTTCAGTTTTTTCTTGGGATTAATTTACTTATTTGGCTCGAAATTTATCTGCATTACATAGTTTTCTCAGCAAAATTTTGAGATTGCTCAATTTTTTTAGGTGTTCCTTCAACTCTAAAGCTGAGTCGAGGGTCAATCCCTCTTCTGCGTTGCCATTAATATTAATGTAGATCTTAAG